CAACTAATTCTATCCCAGCTGAAACCAGTTACACGAAGTTAAGAGAACCTCCTCACGAGGATGGTGAAATCCTCCTATACCGACAAGTCCAAATTGTTTTCCCAAATACCCCAAATTACATTTGTCTGAGTATCAACATCTGCACTTGTAAAAAGAACTGATGGCAAAATTAAGTCTATAATAAAATAGATCTGGAATTACTTTAAAGAATAAGAATGGTAACAACCTGGAGAATGGGTAAGTAATTAGAGAACTTACATCTGAAACAACTGCATCCTGTCAGGTGGAAATGAAAGTGCTGTGTCCAAAAACTTGCAAGCTGATAAGTACAAGGACAGTTCATTCTGTTGTATGTCAGATCCACTGCCATCACCTGAGACTTTCTGTTTGCTTATTTTGCTGTTGCTCCTGTGTTAGTTACAATTAAGAAATGTACCATTAAAACATAAATCCACTAAATGTTTTTCATTCGGCAAAAGAGAAATGTACACATTTACACAAATGACCACTTGCACCTGTGTGCAACAAAACCTATTTTTATTCTGTGTGACCACTGTGATTAATATGAAAGGCTGTTAGAAGAAAAAGTAATCTAAAATATTTAGAAAAAATGGCAAAATGTTAAAATATTCAAATGCTGACTTAGCATCTCTTCTATTTTTGTATGCAACTAATAAGTGGTACTTATGTTTTTTGAACATACCACTATTTTAGCTGCTGAAAAAAAATCCTGAACTATGATTCATCAGTACCAGACATACACAAGTGCAATGACAAAAAATCCTGTTGTCTCCTCCCTATCCCAGAGAATTAAACAAATAAATAAATCGCTATTTGCCAATACAGAACAAGCACAATTGTTACCAGCTTTCACAACTCCTCTATCAGACAAATGGTAATTCTTACTTTGATGGTTCATCTTCCTCAGTTAAATCTTCTTCCAGCTGTAGAAAAGTCTGAATCTTTAAAGAAATAAATTATTTATGGTGATGCTGAAATGTTCATATGACTTAATCATAAAAAGACATGCTTCACATAGTATAAGGAACCACAGACTCTTAGGTTACTCTTAGGACTTGCAACAAATAACAAATCATGGAAGAGATTACATTAGCAACAACAAAATTAATCAAAAAGGTATTTCCTAATGACAGTGTTAATTGTTTTCCCAAATTATCAGACTAATGCAAAACTATGAAAATATTTCCTTTTACAAACAGGGGGTGTATTTGGGAGGAAGAAGCAGCTGAAATGGAAAATAACACACACTAATCAGTTTCAAATTACTACTTATTACTTACCAATTCAGTTACCATAATTGGCCACAATGAGGTTAGATGCTGAGGAGAAATCCTTAACAAAAGAACTCTGAAGAAGAGAAACATCTGTGCGGCAACTATAGAAGTCTGCCCAACACGGAGGTTCTCAGTCAGTCGTTCTGAAATAAACATTAAAAAAGTAAAAACAAAACAAACCAAAACAAAACAGAGTAGTATCTTCCTGAACATGTGTTGTTTTGGGAAATAAAAAATGTAGAAGGTGGCAAAACAAAATTTATGCTTTATCATCAGTTTTGGCTTGAGTCCCTTGCACTCTATTAACAAAATTGTGCTTCAGAAAAAGTCTGAAGACATGGTGGTTTTATATTGGACAAAACTTTGTCAAAACTGACATTTAAAGAGAACAGCAACAGCCCAAGAGTGGCTGGAAGACTGCCACAAAATAATCATGCTTCCAGTCATATTTCCAGACCAAAGGCTTTGGAACCCAGATTCCTGTCTCCCTCTTAATGAGATTATTAATTTGTTAGAATTCAGAGATTCACAGCATCATAAATTTTGCTAAAAACTTTAAAAAAATGGAAGTATGTGTTGGAAAACAGGTGATATTCCTTCCTTACATAATTTATATGTGTTACAGTTGAAAAAAAGAGGCAGGTGAAATTACAAATCTTACCTTGTATTAAGGGAAGATAGAGATGATACTGATCAATCTCTCCACTGAAGACAGCGAAAGCTTGCCGCTTTAACAGCATTGCTTTTTGCTCAAAACTTGGGTACAGTTTTAAGGCGCTGCTCTGCATATCTATAAGAGACATAAGAAATATCTACCATAGAAAGACTTCTTATGTTTTGGGCTGAAAATAATTCCTACATCCTGAAATCTTTTTAAAAGAAAAACTCTCTTTAAGTCTACTAATTGGAATAATAAATTGGTGTTGATCCAGATCTGCTCACGCTAGCAGGAAAATTTTATGAAAGAAGCACTGCAACTCCAATGAGGCAGCCCAGTATTTTAAACCCCTGTCTCTGCCCTTATGTGTATGAATCTTCCCCTCTTTTCAGTCTCCTAAATCCATAGATGAGTGATCTCAGAGCTTTAAGACTTACTGAGAAAAAAAGGATGTAGGTTTAAAAACATATATTGTTTAAAAAAAAGTGCATTATGAATTAGTCTCACGCTGTAACCCTTCAAATATTCTTTTAAAAAGATCTGAAAAAGAAACTAAAGCTGCTTTTTCTTTTGAAGCTCCATGCAAATTCAAGAGGTTCTATCCCACCCCTCCCCCCACTTTCTTCTACACTCTTCTCAAGCCTGAATTAGAGGTCAAAGCACGTTGCTCAAAGGTTTGCTGTACTGGTGCACCACATTCCTATAGCTCGATGCCAGTATACAGATACCTGCAAAGTTAACCAAAGTCTCCTTGCTTTCTGACAGTGAACAGCTGCAAAAGGTCACAATTCAGCAACTTAAAAATATGGTAAAATGTGAATGCAGGAGTCCAACATTATCATTTCTAGAACAAAAATACTTGAGGGGTGTTTTAGACATGACCAAAATACAGAATTAACTGAGCACAGGTTTTAGCTATGAATAAAGCTGGCAACATACTCAATTATGCAGAGGCATTGTCTGCATCTTATTGATACATTAGTACATTAAAAATGTACCAAATAGCTCAAATGCAAATAGATTTCAAATTCATGTAGAAATAAGTTATCAGTAGCTGATACTTACTCATCAAATCTTTAAACATAGTTTTCTCATGTGTTAGAAGATGGTCAATAATGGATCTCCAACTGAATAAGATATAGAAGGAATTAGATAACCAGGGAAAGCTTTGGTATGGATTCACCTCAGAAAAGATTTTGGTCAAACATTTCATACAAGGAAACAGTTTCCAAACGGTATTCAACATGCAGACTCTTTTCTGGTTTAACACATACTGCATTCTAGGTCCTCCAGCTCTACTGTATGCAGTTCCCACTAACGGGAGTATCAGCATGGAACAAGTTTATTCTTCTGCAGTATAATGAAAACTTCAGTGCTTATAATGCATTTAGAATTAGTTGTTGAGACCCGTTTTTAACATTATTACATTCTGTAACAAAGTACTAAACAGAATTTTCTTTCCAATATTAGCCATTCTCCTTTAAAGCCTTTCTTTGCAAATTCAGAATAGGATCTTGGAGTGCTACAATCTCATGTCTTACTGAGTGCATGAAGTGTCCATCTGGAAAAAAGCTGGATCCATAAACAACTCGACAACTTCTTTCTTCCAGGCTCGCTTTGTATAGGCGTATCCACTCAATGAGCTGAGCAACTGAGCACCAGCACGAAAACTAGGAATGTTGTAGGCACTGGGAGAAGAGAACAATAATGATAAACATATATATTTTTTAAAGTTCAGTTTATGTAAACAGAAAATAAACTCCGGAGCTTCTAACCAAATTCCCTAAGTAATAGACTATGTCTACACTAGCTCATAACGTGGATCAGCAGGAGATCAGTAGATCAAAACAGTTTATGCAGAAGCTCCACACATTTCCAGTGTACCTGGTTCAGGGAGATATTTTCAGATTAGATGTATCACAGCACAGCACTGCCTGTCTCCACCACAGATGTGGTTCAAAACTTCTCCAAAACAAAGTTTCCAATAGGCTTTGAGTCCTTGTCAGCAGGCCCCTTTAGAAGGTACCACACTAGACTTCATGTGTCACCCAGATAACAAGCATCAGTTCTCATGTCATCACCTGTATAAAAATATCACACATAAGCCCTTTTCTCCTTGTGCTGCCCTGTGCACCATCCCAATGGTGCACCATGGACACCATGCTCTGCAAGGCACAGCAGGGAAGGAGCATGGGGCTCAAGTCAAAACTGGTAGGAACAAGGTGAAGGGACCCTACATGAACTGATGCTTGTCTTCTGGAACCTCAGTTTCACTGAAGACACAGATGCCAAACAACATCCTGCTACAAATCCTTGCTACGGTAACTGCTTTGCCCATGGCTGAACAAAGTTTTCAGGTTGGTGAGGTGGTGCTCAAACTGGCAGGGATGTGAGAAGGGATGCTGTCAAGGTCCTCTGTTGTGAGGTGGCACCATACCTTCACTGAAGTCTTCAGCAGCCCCTGTGTTTTCAAGGGGGAGGCTACTGCATTTTTGTGGAGCCCTGCAACCAAACTACTGCCAGGCTGGGGAGGACAGAGGCATGAGGACAGTCTTGGAGGTTATAGTCCAACTGCTGAGCAGCACATATGAGTAACATGAAAACCATCCAGCACATCTGTGGGCCTGATGGGGGCTCCACATTTTAACCAGTGACCATCTCGGTATGGTTATGGCTAAACAGATCACAAGGACTGGTGGCCTTGCCAGGCTGACACTGGAGAACCATCAAGAGACATCTGTAGGCATCTCAGCAACTTCATCAGGATTCTCATGCTCATGTCTTTTGAACCATCAGTCTCAGATCACAGGGGATGGTAGTATCTTCCTTGCAAGAAAGTAAAAAGCTGGCTGACTCCTGGCATTCAGATCTTCATTTGCATTGCAGAAGTTGTCATTTATCCTCTGCACCAGTTCACAAGGACATCCTGACAGCAGTGGTGTCCATGCCAATTTTAACTATGCTGTTTCCATGCATGGGGCAGAGATGGGATGAGTGTTTGGCTTACAGCCACTGGCTCACACCAGGCACAGCACAGCAGAGTGATGACAGCGTTCCAGAAACAGTTTCAGTGGTGGCTGTATGCTAACATACACAGAAAGGGGAGCTTTAAGTAAAGGCCAAAAACCCAGATGGGAGAAATACTACAGCTAAACAAACAGCTGCCACAAAGCTCAAACAAGAAAAGGTTTCAGTTCCTGGGGGAGATACAGCTCATACCTTAGAATGGAAATGGAGGAGAGGACAAACACAACCATGGACATTGCTGTGTGGGCCAACAGGGCCTATACAGAGACAAAATTAACAGAATTTGGCCAATAAGGCCTAACTAGCGCAATGCTGGTGGGAATGGAGAGGACAGGATAGGGCCTTATAGTTCCTGTGCCTTTTACCACACCTCACCCTTCTAACCTGACTTGCACACATGGATGGGGGCTCTGGTGTCCACCCAGGCATCAGCCATGAGAAGGTCGGCAGCAGGCAGAGCTGCTTCTTCCAGCAAGTGCCCAGCAACCACCACTGCCAGGGAAGATAGTTCACTGGTCCTCCTGCTGGGGCTGTCCTTCTCCCACCTCTTCAGAGCCTCCCGCTCCCAGGCTTTTGCCAGGCTGGTATCACGTGAGTCGTGTCAGTCATACTCAGCATCCTGCAGATGCCTTTCCACTACAGCCTCTGTCATCTTCCTCCTCTGCAGTGCTGTCTTGGCCTCTGGGTGCTCAAAGATAGCCCTGTGGGACGCATACTGCCTCCTGCCCACAGCAGCACGGGAACAAGGTGGAGGGACATGGGCTGCAACTCCCTCTTCAGAGGACTCTGTGGAGGAGAGAAGAGCAAACCCATCAGTCCCCGAGTGCCTGTGAAGATACGTGACAATTTCTTGCCTGTGGCCTTCCTCCTCCTAGCCTCCGGTTTTCTTCAAGGAGTCAAGGTTAAGGCTTTTGAGCACAGAGAGGGCCTCCTGTCAGTGTGCGCTCTCAGTGTGCTCCACGCCACACTCCTGCCTGCCCAGACCGAGGAATGACCTAGGCCTGTGTGCTTGAGGGGACACACAACAGTATGGGCTGTCCCTCCAACTGCAATCAATACTCAGAATGCCCCAACACAGAATTTTGCTGGATAAGGTTAGGACATGCCATGGGTTCAGAGCTCTGCGAGCAGCAATGACATGTCAGCAGACATTTTACCCCTACAAACATGGGAGATGCACGGCCCCAGCTGAGTGCCTGCAGCAGGCTGTCTGCCATAACCAGGGACAAAGGCAGTAGTTCACCTTGCACCCTGTGGAATCAAAGCCTCGCAGGTGAGACTGCACTAGTGCCGCCCACTGCCAGTGCCTGGGTAAGCATGGGACAGCCGGTGATATTTTTGGCTTATTCATATGCAAAACAAATTGAGCGTCACCACAAAACTCCACAGCTCCTCAGTTAAGAGACTGCTTCGTGTTCTGAATGAACGCTGCTGGCACCAGACCATCAGCCTGCAGGTGCCTGGTGGGGGAAGGAAAGGCACTGGCAGCACGTTCTTATTGCAGAAGCCCAGAGGGGGCTGCGTTATTCCCAGGTGCTGTGCACACAGCTGACCCCCTACCCAGCCCAAGGGCAGAACCCACAGTTCCTGACAGAGGTGACTGATATGTGGAAAATTTTCTTCATATCTCATGGTCCCAGGGCAACTCCTTCTAAAGACAAAGCAACCCTTGCAGTCAGAGCAATGACTTACACAGCTATGCTACTGCTCTGAACAAAATACCTTAATTTCCACCAAAAATGAAGGCATTAATTAATTCACTCACAAAGTCACCATTAAAATGGACATGGACACATACTGTACACGTACCTGGGTTTTAACCAACAGCTCTCCTGAAGCCAGCTGTGGTGTGGAAAGGAGTCCGTGGATGTAAAACAGTCCATGGATGTGCTCCTGCCCAGACCATCCTGTAGGGTTCAGGGACAGCATGCACCGCTCTAGATACTACTGCATGGTGACCCTCAGAATTGAGTTGAAATGGGCTGCAGGCTTGTCGGTGAGTGGGTACTTGAAGATTTCTTCTAGCTTTCTGCAGTGGGCACGTCTGCTGTGCTGTTCCTTATCTCAGATTGCAGTCCTGGTCTTCATCCAGACTACCAACAAACTTTTGACCGCTTCACAGGAAAGACTCAGCAGTGGCATTGTTTCCTTGTTGCCCTTCTTCCCCAACAGGCAGAAGAGGTAGGTGTCAGATTGGCAGAAATTGAAAAGCAATGATAGCAAAGGACAATAAAAGCAATAGTGTTCAGCAATGGAAAAAAGCAACAGGGCATATAAAGTAGGAAGGGATGACATGTCAGAAGAAACACAGAAGGATAAGGAAGAAGCAGCAGAAAGACAAGTATCAATGTCAGTGAAGAGCTGAGGGCCCACAGTAGACAGCAAGTAGTAGCGCAGGATGACTTGGCTCACAAGCACAGCTTCAGAATGTCCCAAGTTTGACAGCCTTCTACTGGCACATCTGGTATGTATGTGCTAGATCTCCTCATGGCAGCGCAGTCAGGAATTAGCAAGCCCTGTTGGGTCACTTTTGTATAGGAGCTTCTATTAGTTTCCTCCAAAAGGGATTTAGATCAAGCACTAACAGTGCTTGGAGTACTGAACCAGCTTTTTATAAATGGAGACAAATCAAGAGATTCAAAACTACACTACTGCTCTAATCAAATTGCTAATGTAAACATAGCCACCAAGTATTATCCTGAATTCTGATCATCCATTACAGGAAAAAGAATGGTCAGGAAAAACACTCTAAAAGCACAAAACCACAATTTAATGCAAAACTTGGCAATGTCCCTAATGCTGCAAACGCTTGGTATGGCAGGGTTGACAGACTACTCTTAGGTGTCTATACTGAGAAGGGATTTAGCATTATTAGCATAAACTTACTGGATATGTAAGACAATCCTCCCCAAAGTGAAATTTTGTATTACCCTACTGTTGAGGATAGCTTATCATTCAAGCTATAAGATCACCAGAAAACTAAGGCACAGAGAACTTAGAACGACTGACAGGCTCAGTGACTCTACAGCTTAGCAACTTTGCAAAATAATTATTACAAAATCTTACCAGCTCAAATACCAATTAGTTATGCTCATTACCTGTGCTGTTCCAGTTGGGGGGCGCGTGTGTTTGAACAGCAGGAAGAGGGTGGTGAAAAGTATTCCCAGAGGTTTATTTTAACTAACTGTGCCTCCCTCCCTAGGTCTTCCACAGTGAGTGGAGAGAGAAGCTCTCTGGGGTGTGATTCAGGACAGCAGTGTCTGAGCACAGGAGCTTTATAGGGCTATGGCTTGTAAAGGAAGTTGCCCTTCCTTGGGGAAAATTTCACTTGTTAATGAGAATAATGAGACTTTTTTCCTAGAGCAAAAGATCAGCTCTATGGTGCGTGAAGGGGAGAACATAATTAATTTTCTGTCCTATACAGGTGGCAACTAAATTAGAGGATTATTTATATGAAATTTTTTATCTCGGGTCTCCAACCCTTACAATTCCCCTTGACTGTTAAGCACTCCTGAGAAGACAAGAAAGCAAAAGTCTTACACTGTGGTCAAAAAAATCAGATATAAGAAAAATCACATGTGCAGAGAGAGAAGTCACCTGTGGTTGCGTAGATAAGGAAAGACATAATAAAGCAAACGTGAAATCAATGGCACAGCTTTCTCCTTCTCGTCGCTCCGGTAAACCATGTCCAAAAGAGAAGCAAGAACCTTAAAAATGAAAAGAATGTTTCTTTAAACCTTTACTTGGTATTTCTGACAAAAGGGGAAAGCATGCCATATTTCAGGCTAGAATGCGTGTGCACATGGGATGCCTCAATAAAGATTTAAGCTCCCATTTAATCTACCAGGAAAACCTAATGTATTCCTCTGCTCAATAATATCAATAAACAACCACCCCACAGATGGGAGCAGCAACTACAAAACTGTTCCTACTTACTTCTGCAAGGAGAGAAAGAGCTTGGACACTGTATATTGAAGGAGCAGAGGCAGAAATCATCGAAGATGGTGCCACTGATGTATCTAAAAGAGGCAAAATCATTTAGTTTTCCCTTCATACAAGACATGTTTAAATTTTGCTGTTTGCTAACTTTCTTCCCAAACAGCACTGTTATTTGCATATTTGTACTACAGTGAAATGCTTCTGGGCATGTTGCCACAATGACGTACCTCATGCCCTATGCTGTTCTGTTGCATGTACTGCATGTACCTGCAATAAGTTTTCCTCTGTATTATACACAATCTGCAGATATTTACTAAACCTGCTTAGGTTGGCATTGTTGTTGGAGGATAATGCATATTTTTGGTTTTACTTTTTGTCTGTATTATTGCCTTCTCATGTGAACTACACACTATCAAACACCTTGTACTCTTCATTGACTTAAGTAGAACAGAAAAAAGCAATGGAAAGTCAGACAAAACCACATTACCATTCACATCTTCAATGTTGAAGTCATCTGGTAAAATCTGAGGCTGAGCTTTCACTTCTAAGTTCCGGCTCAGCCAGCTAGTCTGTTCCAGAGAAGAACCAGCAACCGTCCCTACAGCCTCCAAGATTTTTTGGGTCACCTCCTATAACATAACCAGACAACGTGGCATCATATGAAAGCTATCATCACTTGGCCAATCCAGTGAAGTCCTCTTTATATGGAACATGTCAGGATGATCAGAAGTATGCACTTCTATCTCTTAGAAACATACATACTTCTCTGATTTAACTACGTGCTGTCAAGATAACTAATGACTGCTCACTTCATATAAGAACAGGCAAGAAAATGAGAAGCAGGAAAAACTTTATGTTAGCTTATCATGGAGGTTTTAGTCATGATTTTCCATGCAAGCCATTACCATTAACATAGCATGTTTGGCATCAGTCCTGACACAATTTACATATTAGTTCTCATCTGTCAAAGATGTGGTCTGAACTGCCTAGCCCCCCAGAAATGGCATATCAATGCCTTTATTGTTTTGAACACTGTTCCTTTTATTCCTTTTATATTTGGAGAACATTAAGCGAGGCAGAGCATTAAGTGAGGCAGGGTTTCATTTTATGGCAATCCATCTGTACATATATCAGTCTCTCTATTAGGGGTCAGCAAGACACAGAATCAAACTATGTGCATAGTCACACTTCACCATGTTTAATTCCCAGTGAAATGAAAAGCTGGTCACTCTAAGGAAACCAAATCCCAAGTATCCAAAGCAAAGCAGAGGTCACTTGTGAAGAGGCTAAAAGATGTTAAGATGGCAAAACTGTCTTTTTATCATCATTGTAATTTTGCTGGCCAGTCTCTAAAGCAGAAGTGGAGACTAAAATTTCTCTGTTGGCACACTAAAGTAACCATAACACTGTCTCACCTCATAGGTAGCATTATGTTGGCTCAGAGCCAAAACCACCCACATGGGTAGTGCTTAAACTGTGCTGGTGAAATCACAAAAAGTATGGGAAGAGAATCCTGCTGTATTCCACCCCTTCTTTACACAAAAGGTGAGCTGACAGTCATTTATATTGCCAAACACAGCTATGAGCTTCAAGGATAATTATGCTACTAGCTTTCCTAGATACTTTTGAGATTTCAATACTTACACATATGATATGAACTCATGACATCACACTTGTGTTATGAGTTAAATTCTGAGAAAAATCATAAAGTTACCCAAGGTAAACAGCTTTGAAAAGTCCATAGTTACCACTGCAATTTCATGCATTTTTGACAAAACTTTGTTAGAGACATTTTGTGCATCATGTCTCTCATGTTTGAGTCTCCATATTTACCAGGCCTAAGCCACAACGTGTGGATGCACATTCACACATTCTAAAAGCACAGGTGAATTCAGATACAAAGTACAGATCAGGCCATCTCCACTTTTACTTAGATGTACAGTGCCAGATTTATGAACTAAAAGGTATACATGTATACACTGTACCTGCAAGTCTTTTTGGTCTTTTTTGTTTTCTAGAGTAGGTGTCCTAGTCACAAAGTCATTCAGAGTACTGTGGGAAAATCAATTCACTCTGAGTTAGTAATTGGACAGGTCTACTCAATGCATCTATAAACCTTCCTCTCTCTTACATAGTACCTGAGAAGAAGAAAGTGTCCAGGAGGAGCCAAGTTCAACTGCACAGACTCTTTGAGAAGTCCTAATAAGGACTGGAAGTTCTCCTGCAAGGCTGTGACAGGCAGTCTGCCAAAAAACCAATATCAAAACACAACCAAGTCTGAAGTTAGAGTTAAGGAAAAACCATAAAACAACACTGGGTAACTTGGTGGCCTAAAAGTTTACATCAAGATCAGTCTTTTAGATCCTGCTCCTTCCTAACTGATCCAACAACATGGTATAAATATCTGGCAGCACAGGCAAGATGCATACAACAGTAAACGCTAGCAGCACATGCAGCATGCCAGCCAGCACTGTAAGAGCGCTAGGTCTTCAGGGGGAAGAAAAGGAATAAAGTTTAGCTAACCACTCCACTGCATGCCAGCTTACTTTATCTCCACAGCTTATTGCATACAGTATATTGTACAGTCTGATATATCCCAAGGCTTCCATGTCAGAAAAGCCAAGTATGTGAAGAAGAGTTTTGATCAAAGGAATATTTCCATTCAACTGCCTGACCCATTACATGTCCAGCACAGATTGCAGCCATAGCAGTTTTATTGAATTTAGAAGTTCTCTATCCATTAATCTGGCAACGCAGAACAGGTAAGGAGAAAGACCATAAGAAATTATACAAGTATCTTGCTAATGAGATGCCTGAAGTATGTTGCTCTATTAGTATGAAATAAAGCTTTCAGAGTGGTATTATCAACAGATCAATGAAACATAATGTCATAGCCCAGTTATTTTGTGTCTATCTGTTACTAACAATGAAGTGGCAATAACCATTTCCTACATAAAGGTGTTCTGTGACATTGTGACACAAAGATCAAAGTAAAGCAAAAATAGTGATGCTGGCTGTTATCCTAACTAGAGTCAAACAGAAAATTCTCTTTTATAATGACTGAATTACCTTTGAATGAAAGCATAACTGAACTGCAGCACTGGAATATCTACAAGAGAAGATTTCTGAAAAATAAAAGCAAACCTGCAATTATTTGCCATCAGAGGGAAAAAAAAAAAAAAAGAAGGTCCAAGCTGTTCAATACTTGTCTTCAATGGTTAACACACCCCTCTTACAAGCCACTTGCACTCCAACAGTGACTGACCAACTATGGTAAAACTATCAATACAGCAGTACGAGGGAATTCAGACCTTTAATGGAGGACCCTAGTTCAGAAGCAGTCCCATTACTTTGGAATATCTGCTACAGTTTATTCAGAGCTGTAGGAGCTCCTACAATGGTGTGCATGGTAGTAAAACTGGTTTCCTTGAAAGCAAATTGGAAGATAGCAGACTCAATGTCAAGTATTTCTAACCATTCAGTTAAGGGTAGAGGGATAGAAATGCATTACTGAGTTGTATAACTGCAGCAGCTTTACGAAAATTGTCATCATCTTTGGCCCTGGAAGACCCCACAACTTTTCATTACCAGCAACTTCTCTAGCAAAATATTCTGAAGAACCTACTCACATTGATGGATCAAAACACAGAAACCCACATTCTAAAAACATAACTTATTCAGGAGCAAAAGAGAATCACACATTGTAAAAAAAAAAACACCCCAACTTTCCTTCTAACAATATTTAGAAGACATGTTGGAACAGATCCAGAATAGAATATATTAAGAAAATGGAATTGACTTCATGGTTACCTCTTCACCCTTGATTTGTGATGGTTTCTTGACTACCTCTTTGACTAGATGTAATATAGTGTCAATTTTCAATGTGTTAAGTGCACATATTAAGTCCACAAGAATAAGCTGAGATGCACTAGCCACTGGAAGAATCTGAAAAAACAAACCAAACCAAACCAAAAGACACACCCCTCAGATCACTGTACCAGGCAAAACATGAAGTTGAAAAACCAGCTTTTTGTGTGATTATTCAAATATCAATACTTATACAAAACATAAATTAGGCAAGTTAAATCAAGCATGCAACAATTTGTCATATACAGATCTTCTCCCAACACGTTCACGAAAACAGTTTCATTATGCTCAAACAAAACCAGAAAAGAAACAGGTGTTCTACTCAGAATAAATGCTTAGTTCCAGAGAATACTACAACTCTAACCTTTCTCTGGAAATGGAGCTGATCCAAGGTCTTTAGAATTTAATGGCAAGTTGCAATCCTAAGATTACAATCCAGCATTGAATAAAAAATGGCTATTACTATCAGACTTAAACTGCCACACTGTCTTTTTTATTTCATTACTTATTTAGGTTTAATTGTATTCCTGATGCTTTGTGGAATTATGCATACATAAGAGCATTTGAGATTTTTCAGTGGCTTGACATTGTCACATGTAAAAAAAACCCAAAGAATCTGTAAACAAGCCCAGAGTTTAGAACTGATCATGTAAATGTAACATTTGCCTTTACACTGGAAAACTAATGGTGCCTTTCTTTAGTTTCACCTTGATTTTACTTTGATTCCTATGAGGTTTCTTGCTATTCCATACTGCTGCAATTGCTGCCATCAACTGGATTCCAAGTTGTGCTGTCAATGGATTCATGAAGTCCAGTATTTTAGTTCTTAATGTCTATAGAGGGGAAAAAAAAACCCCTGTCAATGCTAAGCTTTCAAGGCAAAGGCTATCTCATAGTCGTGTAAAACATTCTTCTTTTTCCCAAGATGTTCAGAAAATACACAACAAAAGAATTTCTTTATATACTTGGCAGTCAGACTAGTTTTGATAATTTATTTATGAGTTAGTGTATCCTTCTTACAGATGGAAGGCACATTTGTTGGAAAACAGATTGCAAAACAGAAAAAGTAACTTCTTGTGTTATATTCTCTCTTCTACAGATATTTTTCACTACTATGATTTACCAATATCCACAGAAGAAGGGAAAAGTCTAGTATTTTTATTCCTTCAGGTACGTGTTCTACTGCCTGTGGAAGGTGCAGACAATTCAGAGATGGTTGGCTTTATGACAGCTATTAACAGAAGCTCACAGAAAAAGCAAAACATTAAACAGATCAGGTAAGGGTGCAGATGGGCAAAAAGAACAGGGAAAAACCTACTTTTGTAGGTAGGTACTATGCAAGTCTGTAGCTCCTAAGAGTTCTTCAAAAAATTTTGTGGCCCAATATCATTCTGGGAATGGCAAAACTATTCCTATGAACTCTATGAAGAATACACTGGTAAGGAATGATAAGGATGATAAGATACACAGCAGTTTAAAAGAACTCCTACTTTGGTTGCTTTAAAGTAGACTGAAGAAGAGCCTTTAGTTGTTCCAAAGAAGTCAGTTGGTCTTTTTTGAGAGTCTTCCCTCTTTATAACACTCCAAAGAAGGGACATGGTATTAATAATGCGAGGCAATTCTTCCAAAATGGCATTCCTAGCATTTCTCAGGTTTGCAGGTTCAGCTAAACATGTTGACTAGAAAAAACAAAAATATGAATATTAAAATATGTTATATTATGCCACAGAGTGTGTAAAGGGAACTAGGCCTTAAGCCTCATTGTTTCTAAGACTATTCATATTAGACATATAACTAATGATTAGAGATTGCTTTAGATATGATTAATAGAATGCAGGTGTTTATAAAACAATATGCATAAGCTGCTCATTTGTCCCATGTGTAGCCCTTACCACGGCTGGCTTAAAACCCAGTCAAGCTGAATCAACAGAAGAAGGATCGTACATCTTAGACCTAAGACATAGGAGTAAGTGATTAACTTTAGAGCAAGATAAATTAATAGAATAGCCTGAGTGATTTTCAGAAATTCAAAGGTGATCTTTGATGTATAAGAAGATAAGTGATTGCGGTGACTGGAGACCTTCTGCCTATGACCACTAACTTCAGAAGAACCGGGACACGAGAATTTATAAGATAAGATGATGAATGGTAACAACATGGGAACAGAGATCAACTGGAAAATTACAAAGACTTTGGACTGGGATAATAGGTGGTAAAAAGGTATATAAGACTGAGAAATTTTTGGAAGGTTGCCATTCACTACGGTGGTGGCCCAACTCTGAGTTGTTAACAAAGCAAACCTAGAGAAACCCACGTTTGAAAATCCTTTAACAGAGTGACTCCTCTTATTTTGTAATTAGGAGAATTATAGTCAGCTTTTGTAATAAAACTTTAAAAATAATTCAATCGTTCTATTTCTGAAATGTACTGCTGCTGTTAGAGTCTACTGAATTTGCTGTTCGCTATTTTGGCACAGAGATAATTGATTTGTCTAGGAAATTGTTAGGATAATATCCTTATCTAACAAATGTTATAGGAATAAAAATTGTAGAGAACACATCAGCATGTTATCAACTCAAAAGAAAATAGAAGACTTTGTTAATGACAGAGCAACTGTAGACAAGCTACACAGGACTAATATTTGTGTGACCAAGATCATCATGAACATCTTCTGATTAAAATTAGCTTTCCTGCCTTCAAATAAAAAAATTAAGTTCAGTCTCTCTCCCTTACACTTTTTCTTAGTTCACTTCTTTTGGTGTGCTATGAGGCTTCTCTAAGGTTATCTTCTCATACAAGTGCCGCTTTACTACTTATATTCACCTCTGAAAGAAAAAAGGATTCATACTTTGACGAACTGGTGCCAAGGCATCAAGTGAGTGGTAGGCATTAAGCACTTACCTTTTTAGTTTGGTTAGGGTGATCCAGAAGGCAGAAGTGACCGATGGTTGTCAGACCTTCCAAAAGGGTTAGTGGGTAATCAGGCGTAACATTTTCTCTTTTAGAAGTTACGCTTTGGAGGGGAAAAAAAAAGGAGAAAAAAAAAAAAAAAAAAAGGAGAAAAAAAAAAAAAAGAAAAAAGTTAACAGGCCAAGTGGTATTTCCTTGATTAAAAATGCTAGTAGAAATCTGTTTCTGTTCAATAGTTAAAAGAATACTGGAACAACCAGACATGAATATCAAATCAAAGGATTCACAAACTATGCTTGGACAACCCTGTTTCCTTGTCTAGATCTTTAAGAATATTATTCCCCACCTGACCATAAATCTTTCATGTCTAATTATTTTTCCCTAGTCCTTTCACTTACTGCCTATTCTGAACAGTATCACTGTATTTTCCTTCTCCAGGGTGTCTCTCCCCAACTAGTCCTCCAAAATCCTCATTTTTTTCAAAACTCGGAACGTCTTTTTACTTGGATGGCAGGCAGAGGGGGACAGGAAGTATCACAGCTGCTGGTCATTCTTGCAACCACAGTGAGCCCTGCTGGGACAATACAGCCTCCACCACACCTGAGCTCAAGGGACAGATGCCTGCATGTGCAGCAGGGTTTGAGGATCAAACTCTGGGAGCCACAATGCTAAACCAGTAAATTACTATGCACTACACTCTCTTAAGAGAAGCTTTAAAAAGTTTCAGCATAACAAATCCCACACTACAGACTCTTCTTACCTTGCAGATGTTTTTGCAGATGTCTTCACAGCTTCATTTTCATACTGTTTGACAAGCTCATCCAGGTTTTTACATATCTGTACAACAAATGGTGCCACAGTCCAGCCCAAAGACTTCCCAAAATAGGGCAAGGAACATGTGACTAAGCCTACCCAAGTGGGATGCATCCCATAGCCATACTCTGGTTGCAAACCTCTAACCACAGCAGAGACAAATAATCCCTGTGAAGTTATTGGGTGTGGATAGACGTATTGCATTGCACCAATTGCCTGCTGGAAATTAAGAGCCTGTTGCCATTCCTTAGAGAGGTCTGGCTGATTCTCCTGCTCCTCATGAGTCTGTCCAAGATGGTGCTCCAAGACAATCAATACCTGCAAGAGCTTCAGCAACTCAATCTGGAGTGGGTGTTCGCTCCATATTTGATCATGCCCAAAATTGATTACGCTCTCTTCAAAGAGTTCTTCTTCAGGAACATTATTAACTCCATCTGCCATAAGCAGTTCATACCGTTTCTGACTTGTATACATAGATGCAGACAAAGAAAGAAGAACAAACTCCTGAATTTTGCATCTTCCTAGCAAATTGCGTATGAACTCCACGTTCTTATTCTCTGCTGCCTTTGCCATAGTAGCTAGCTGGGTCATCATTCTAATCAGGACTTCCACACTTTTTACCTGAACATCTCTGTTGCCAAGCACATCTCTGTGCGTAACCTTCAAGTAGCATGGATAATACGAGCGCAGAAAACTGAGACAGAGGTAAGTGAGCAATTCTATTAGAAGAGAATGGGGACACATGGTTGGGGACTGAGTCTGAAGTTTGCCATAAAAACTCTGTCCTACAAGAGCTTCCTGATGGCGAGCTAAGAGATTGTAAATAAGATTCAAATGTGCTGTGGAGCTGGTATCCATGCTTGTACTAGCTACAGCTTCAATAAATTCTTTAGGGTTTGTTTTAAGCACTGCCTCCAGAACAGAAAAAGCATACAATACCCTCTTAGAATCATAAGGCTGCAAATATAGCAGCATGTGTTTGAACAGAGCCTCAATCATCTCCTGCTTTTCCTTCTGCTGCTTGAGCAACCTAGAATGGGTAATTTCCTGGAGCTCCAAGTCCACCTCTTCATCACTTGACAGAGACTCTGATGCTTGAGTCCTCTCAGAGTCAGCACGCACAAGGTTTAGCGCTACACTGGATTTGGAGCTTTCAGGAAGGAATGCATTGAGAGAATTCACATGGTTTGTGGTCTCTTTGCCATTGGTTGCAGCACTGTCATTGTCCTCATTGCTCATGTCTTGCAGCTCCAGAGAAGGAGAAAAAGAGGATGTATTTTCACTGTCACGGCCTGTGCTGGTGTCTGCTGATTCTGTGTGCTCACTGTTATCTTGGTCATCATCTGCTTCATGTGAAGTTACTGGATTACAAGAGCCATCATTTTCAGACTGTTCAATTTTTAACTCCAACTTCTCTGGATCTTTTTCCACTTCTGCCCAAATTGCTTCTCTATCCACAGTAGTAAACTGGCTCAATGGAAGGTTTTCCTCAGAATTGCACTCGGAGATGCCAGACTCTTTCAAAGAGGCCCTTTTCTTGCAAAGCCAATCATGTATATCTTCTGAAAAAAATAATTGTTTTTTTTTTCCAAAAAGAGTGTATAATCGTCTATTTCACACAACATACTTTATATTAAATAAATCATTGTAAGAAAAAAAAAAGGTTAAAAAGTTACTCTGCTCTAGTCTACTATTAATTGTAACAAATAGAGCTAAAAAACCCCTGGGTTAAAGCAAGAATTATTTTTTTTTAAAGTGGTAGAGCAGTCCTAATCTACTGTAAGCACAAGAGAATAGGATCAAAACATAAAGCACATGCTGTTCCTCTTACGCTATGACTCCCTACATGTGACAATTTTTTTTTATGCTTCCTGAGCATAAAATGTTTGTTGAGATCAGGAGGGAAATGAGAAGGATAGCAACAGAGGAATTTTTTTTTTTTTTTTTTTTTTTTAAAGAGCTAATGTTTTCCTTGATTACATGCTGTGGAACAAGGAAGGAATATATTAGCTCTGTGTTTGTATAGCATCTAATAAACAGGTACCTTTGGATGCTATAAATGTCTGCCATCTAACTATTTGCCAATCAAGACAGAAAAACAATTATGCAAGCCAACAGCTAGGTTAACAGTAATGAGACAGACAGGTGACACGGAAGTTTCTTTACACAAAACTACCGGACACTTCTCCACTGTCTTCCTGCTCTGCTCCAGGAAATGACCTTGGCTACTTGGGCCAAATGATGCAGAGTGTCTCATATCCATAGCACTCCCAGCAATCCCAAACCTGAAGAGACTCACAGGACTCCACACTTGGAGCAAACTCTGGCTCCATACCTGTCTCAGTCTTCCTCAGCTGCTCCCCACAGGTCTCTGTCACATTTGTCTGTTCCACATTTGACACATAGATCTTATGTGGTTCACAACGGTTCTCATTAAAGGTCTTAAAATGGACATCTTCCAGATGTCAAATGTAGCCTGTCAAGGTAAAGATGCCTTGCCATATTCCTAAATTTGGGTGGCTGGAGGTCATCTTCAATTCCAAACATCTCCCTTTGCTTTTATATCCTAGCTCTGGGATACCTCAAGACATATGCCACAAGGGCTCAGGTCTCCTCTTGAATCAAGATGGATTTTAATTTTTAGATGGACATTTTGATTTTTAGAAGTTGGCAGAATTAGGGCTTTTTTTTGTGTGGTGTGCCCTAAACAACAAGATGTTCCTCATAACCTGTCTAATTATTTTAACATGAGGCTGAGGGAATTACTAACAATAAATATTCTGAATAAAGAAACCTGGTATGAGGGTGCATGGCGCGCTGAGGCAAGACTGAGTGGAGACGGTGAGATTTGCCTGTCCATCCTGCCTACTTGAACAGTTCCTGGACTGACATAGTCACCAAACTGCTCCTGGATTTCATTTGGTTGCAGACCTAGTTTTGCTCGAGAAGGGATCCTGTGAACAGTGAACACATGCACTGTGGATCATCTGGGAATGGCAATGAGAGGTGTGGGACAAGATCCCAGAGCAAAGCAGGGAGCAATCCAAACCAACAGTGTAGGTGCAGCCACCATAATAGAAATGATCATTAGGCCTTCAACTAGCATGACTTACTCCTGAACTCTGTTTTAGGCATCACTAGAGGTACTTGGATGAGGAGGAATCTGTGGAACTGATACAAGACAACTCAGGGTAATAGGATACCATTGCACTTCAGAGACTACCTTTGGTAGGTGTTCAGGAGTATGCAATGCTACGTTAGCACTTACAGTTTCAGTCCAAGAACAGTTTTACCTGCTGAATTTTTCTGTTTGATGTAGTGGATGGACGTGCGCTGTGTCTTTGGATGAAGCAGCAGCAGCAGGACTGGTTCAAGAATCCGTGCAACATCATTAAGTGAAAGAGCACGGATCAGCCAGCCCTGTGCTGCAGCACCAATTGCGCCATCTGAACAATTGAGACTGTCCAGTACCACAAACAGAGACCTGAGTGGAGAAATCAGAACGAAGAAGTACAATTGAAATCCCTAAAAAAGTTAATGCAAACAACAAAATAGTGGCAGGGAACAGACATAGTGCATGTTCAAGTAAGCACCAGCCAATGGCTCATGTCTGCTAACAATAGCTTGATCATGCACATTTTCCTGAGTTGAGGTCAAGTACACATGCATTTGTAGAAGCAAGGCCATACGTATACTCACACTCTAGAAGAGCAGCATATTTTAAAGTTCTTTCACATATTTATTTAGAAAGACTCTTAATGCTTTTGTCTTATTTTATACAAGGTTATGGTCTCGTAAATAGGAAGTAAAAGTAAAATAAGATAATTTCTTTTTTTTTTTTTGCCCAAGTAGCTGGTTCTATTTTCTTTGGAAAAAAATCTAGCCCACTCCAAGATAAAAAAAAGTCTGCTATGCAGAAACTTGTCTGCAAGCTACTCTTCATATATGAAGCTCTTTCTATTTTTATGGAAACTTCCTCACACAAGAAAATGCACCATGCATGCAGAGTGCTTTGCAAAGGTAATAGTGCAAGAAAGTTGAAGATCTTCCTTTTGCTCATTTTTTGTTCTCTCTACAGAGAACTTTTTCCCACCTCAGAAAAAACAACAGAACAAAGCATGATATAGTTAAATACATAAATGTAAGTCTAAGCCAGTGGAAATGGAAAATACCTATCAAAGGACCGATTGTGAGAAGTCACTCTGCTGCCTTGGATCTCTCTGGTCAGATGCCACATGACAGAGAATCTGAACAGTGCTTCCAGCCTTGTCCCCTTTGCAAGGAAACAGGACAGATACAAATTTTTTGCAGCATTTATCTCCAAGTAAAGTTTTAGTGATTTTTAAACCTCTAGCAGAACAACAGTTATTGTGTAGATGACTACTACTAATCCTTCTCGGGTAGTTTGAGAGCACTCTTCTATTTTGCAGTAGACTAAACCAAAATGCCACGTATCCATGAATGCACAACTCAAACTTAACAGCCACAGTGTTTGTAGGAGCAGAAAAACGTGCCAATACACCAAAAATGTATTTCAGGACTCTTGTGTATAAACATTTTAGTCTTGATTTGATGTTAGGTAGGTTTAAAAGTTAGATGACAAATGGGAAGACATTGGTATATTAGGCAGTGCTTATTATTGGTAATTTTGTTTGAAAACTTTTAAAAGATTTCCAAACTTTTAAGTTTCAGAACTGCAAAAGCAAAGATATGAAAACAATACCGAAGACTGAAAATGGCTGTTTTAAGTTTTAATGTGCAAGGCAGTTCTCACAAATATACTGTAAGTGATTAAAGAACTGTTCTGTCATTAAACTAGGCAAGAAAAATAATTAATAACTGGCTCACTTAAAATACAGCTTACTTATTATGAGATCTAAATACTAAGGTGGACACAGGGGCAACATTATGTTGACATACACTTACAAGTTAATAAAGTCTTTTGTTGGAATATGAAGTTTGCAAAATCGACACAAAATGAAATTATTTTAGAGTTATTGGTGGAGCTGGGTCAGTTTGGAAATACTGACAAAACCTACAAGTTTTTAGATACTACATGATTTGGGCTGAAAGTAAAATAGCTCCAGCATTGACTGACAGAGCTGTATCCAAGGATTAAATTTAGCCATAGTCCCATGATGAATAAATCCCAGGGAACTGTAAAGGTGAGGACAGAGTCTGTTGGACTCTTAGAAGACAGAGGGACCATGGGAGTGAAGTCATTGGGTTGAAGGGTACTGGAGGCAGTCTGGGAAGCACTGGAACAACTCTACAGTGATGAAGGGGCTTCACTGAATACAGGACTTACTTTATCATGATCCAGAAGCGCGTGGCAGATAATGTCTTCACAGATATTTGCTGATGGTGCCAAGCAGTGCAGCCTGTAGAACAGTTCCACACAGGCAATATGATGCTCCCGTGTCTCTTTGTTCAGCTGATTCCAGAGCACGCAAGCTACTCTCTAGGGAAAAACAACAACAACAACAACAACAACAACAACAACTAATAATAATAATGTGCCATTTCTTTCCTGACTTAAAAGCTTTCCATTGCATAAATGCCCTCTATTACCAAAAGCGATTTCCAAATCGTCTTAGTTTAGCAAAGAGCAAGAATTCAGGTCATACACTCAGACCTAAAGGAATGCAACTTTCCTACCCTAGTAGGGCAGGTAATTAAAATATATGTGCACCAGAAGTTAAGAAAAGCATTTCTCCTTCTATTTTCTGGGTCAAAACTTAACAGATTGTATATGTGTCAGGCACAGCAATTGGAAACACAGTAATTAAGAAAATACCTCATACCAACACTATCAGTAAATGGTCAGGAGAAGGAAAGCATCTTTGAAATATATATATACTCAAAACAAGGAGAAGGGAATGTTTTCATTATTATTCACCCACTAACATTTTCTCTTATCTGAAAACTTAGAGTGGCATCAAAGTTCTTTAAAGTGTAGCTTTCAAGCTAATGAAACCTTCAAGTCAGAAATCAACTATACCTACCCCCCAAGAATTTGGGCACAAAACGAACTGGCAATTTGAAAATAACCTGCCATTTTTGAACATCGTGTTCGGAAGCACATGAAGAAGGATGCAATTGCTTTCAAATGCTTGTGGAAGCAAAAAAATGGCAGTGTGTCATTGTAACACAAACATGCTGCCCCCAAACATCCATGCAAATAACATTTGCTTTCCCGCCCCATCCTTAGAGGTTCAGTGTAGTTGGGCAGTAAAAAAGAAAAAGAAAATTGACACCTGGTAGAAATCTGTTTTCTCTGAGATGATCTTTAGAATTCCAGGAGCAATGGGAGGAAGGGTGACCATCTGTAGCTTTCCAAAGAAGGGGTTGTGGCCAGACACTTTGTACCGCTTCATTCTGTCTTCTATCACAAGTGCCAGTGACTGGGAATGGTTGATCACCTCCAGCAGTGTGAAGATGGACACGTTCTGAACATAGCAGTCACTCACACAACAGCATATTGTCATTAAGGACTTCAGCCACAGAGGGAAGCTGGCATCACAACCTCCTCAGAAGATAAGTGAGAAAAAAGTTTTTGAATAATCTCAAGTTCATGGTCATGTTTTCAAGAATTCTTCAATCAAGCTCACAGGACCAAGAGATAAAAATGACCACCCATATCCAACTGTCATGCTATCATCAAGTCCCTTACTTCAGAAGGGATTTGCTTCAAAGCAAGTTATATTCTTTTCCCTATTTCTCCCAGCAGAAAGCCCTTGCAGGGGCTCAGTAACCCAGCAACTAGTGGATTTCTGCTTTCCAGTTCATGTTTATTCACAACTAGTTTTTACAGCTGCTGTTTTCCAGCTGTCACTGTCAAAAACAACAACAGAGGTCTGCTGATCCAAGGATGCTTTCAGGTAGCGTTGAGGCGTATCATTTCAGAAACCATGAAGCACACAAGGAACTGATATGGCTAACAGCAAGTCAAGCCATCTTTGCCTCTCTGATTATTTGCAAATAATCAGATACAGCTTTATTAAAGCTTGACTGGAGACAGTCTAAAGTATGAGTTCACACTTCTGGCTTCAAAACCATATGTTTTAACTGCTTTACTACCACAACAAAATGACCACTCTTCCTTCTCCACATCAGACAATTTCTGTATCACATTCAACCCAGACCTTCATTATCAGAGGTTCTTCCCTTTTGGCTTTAAACCTTACTGTATTCTCTAGGGTATACACTTGAAAAGAATTTTGAAAAGAAGCTTCTATAATCCTAGGATGATATTCCAAAGAAACACAATTATGAAAGCAAGCCTTCTAAGTTCAGCTACATTGCTGATCACATGGAAGGCACTGCAAATATGCAAAAGTGTTCATGTCAAGCAGACAGCTCACCCATGTAGATCATGGGCATATCATCACTTTGCTAAGGAAGACAGCGGTGAGCTGAGGAAGAGAATCCAATTTCCCACCTCTCCACTCATTACAAACCTATCTTGTCAACCAGCCTTCAGGCCAATAACTGCTCCTGCTAAAGCTAATGAACTTGTATTCCCAGAACAAAGAGGCCCTCCAATTATACAAGATTATTCTTATATGTTAGCTTACATCAGACTCCTTTGAATTCTGAGGGTTAGGGAAAGAGCTGTTTGCTTCTGTTACAGTTTTGAGCTCCAGTTTTCCACCTACACCCATCTTCCCCTAACACATCCTTTTTTTTGGGGGGGGAGAGGGGGAGGGATGGACATGGATGGGGGAGGAAGATTTCCTGAAAATCCTGAACCATGCCACAAGGCTCTACAGGCCAGAGGTCTTTTCATCCCTTCAGCTACAAGTTTTGTAGTGAAAACTTTCAAAAGAATGTGATTTTAAAAAGCTTGGTAAAAATCGTCCCTCAGCTGCAAGACACAAAACACATGCTGATGCGGGTAAGTCTAATTCACATGCAACTCGCCTTCAGCCCTGCCAAGAGACATTACTACTGGCCCTGGTCACACATCTTGCAAATAGCCAAGCTCACACTGCTATTTGCATCCTCAGATGCTCAAGTTGCCCAGTAAAGGAATCTTTTCTTACCAGGAACCTGAAAAAGAGAGAGATACAACTGTTCCATCTCCTCCTCCGAAAGATAGACTGGGAATGTGGTACAATCCAACAAAAGGTGACAAGCTGCAGTGAAAGCTTCCTTGCAGTCACCTCTAAGGGGTCCCAAGACAAGCATCACTTGTTCCAAGTCCCACTCTTCCTCCTCCTTTTCCTTTTTATTACCAGAGACGCAGTCAGAAGGAAGAGGATTAGAACTCTTGTTCTTGAATGGTGACCCTCGAACTGAGAACAAGTCTGAAAGCATTTGTTTAAACTGAGGTACAGTGATTTGCTTTGCATCCCATGGGCTCTTTTTCTTGCTAGCACTTTCAGGTAATCTGTAGCCATTATCTTTTTTCTCTTTTCCACTCAGATTCATTGCTGAGATGCTTTCATTACTTGTTTCTTGAAATTGCACCCCAAAAACATATTTACTGGAAAACTTGGCAACCAGCTCTTGGATGCAATACAAAGTCTTCTGAATGCTCCCCCCTTTCTTCCAGACATCATCTCTCTCAAGGGTCACAGTTGGCACCCCCAAGTGCTGAGAGAGCTCTGGGGAGGAAGTGCTTAGACCAATGCCACTATCTTCTGACTTCAGGGGAGGGAATGGAGTCTCATCCTCCTCCTGCAGCACAGACTTAGACTCCAAGGTTATGTCCACATTTTTGTTTTTCACTGGGCTCTAAAACAGAATTGTTAATGTGGTTAATAGGGCACTGTGTAGATAATTTTAAACTATGTAGAACTGTGGCAGGCACTGGGGAGCAGCAATGATGGAAAAAAACCCCTAGTATTTGCAATTTTCAGATACAGATAACTTTTACAAAATCATGAAACACAGTTATTTTTAAGCAGTTCAATTCAATTGCATTTAAAACCTAACAAATGCTTGTATAATCTTCATACCTTGACTCATCAAACACCAACAGATCCATAGCTACAGATGCTTAGCAAAAGGAAATGTTTCCTTAAAATCAATTCACCACTAGAACGGTATTACTTATGTTGGATTATTTCTAGTCAAACGCATATATTTGTTCTACTGCAAAACTTTGGCAGGCTGTGCTTTTCTGAGTGCTTTATGCCATCTATTCCTCGTTCCCTATCACCGTCTCTTGCACACAGATAATACCACGTTGTGTTAAACTAAAATATTAATTGAAAGCCTTGCAGACCTAACCAGCTGTAAAGCTGGGCTTGATTTGGCAACTTGAATCTTTAGCAACTGCATGATCCTGAGTGCCTTTTCAAAACCATTAAGATCACATTCTTCTCAAGAGGTAGGATTATAGCCCCAGTTTCAGACAAGACTATACTCCTTCACTGCCACAAATAATTCAAACAAGTCAGAACTGAATACCCAGTAAGAATAACAAGGCATCAGGTAGCTCTGGAAGAGGCCAGAGAAGATAAGTTTCAAAAATCTTTATTGCTTCAGTGATCATCTAGGAGAATTAGCATTTTAAAATAAGTTATGTCACTAACAATTTTAAACATCTATGAGTAGTTGAAAAACACCTACCCCATTTCCACTTCCTGTCTCAATGTCCAAATAGGAAGGGGGCATTTGAACTTTGCTAAGCACCTTAAAACAGGTCTTCAAGGCATGAGTGAGTTCTGGTAAACCTAATACTTCCATATTTTCCAGGAGAGACTGCACCATATAACTGAGCATCTGTGGAAGATACTGAGTCTGTACTTCAGAGTAGAGTTCCTAAAATAAATAAGCATTATTTAAAACAGTTATCATGTATTATTATTCAGCTGTCTAGCAACACTGATCAATGATTGATAGACTCAGGTCATGGATGGTTAAGCTGTACAAACTTGCTACAGTGCTATTCCTTCTTTCTTCATTCTACATGATGAACATTGAATCATACCCTAAAAATCTTATGATAGTCAGCCTGCTACTAAGATACAAAAAAGTCCCAGGAAGCAAAAGGTAGACTTTTTCATTCCTTTCTTAGAATTACCATATTTTAAAATGCAAACAATTCTTATTTTGCTGGGCAATAGCACAGGTAGCCACATATAAGTCAGCACATAAAACTATACTTTGCAGGATAGAGCATGCATACACCCATGTATGTCAATTGGCCTACTTTCATTTTAGGTAATCACAATATGAATTATTTGATTTTAAGTCTCTTAAGACTTTGAAGCAGTGAACTTCAGGTTGCCTTACCAAAGGAATCACGTCAAGAAGAAACACCAATAGTGTGCAGAGCTCTGAAATTGTAGGAGGAGCGCTAATATTTTCAAGAGGATATCTCATCTGTGTGGATTTGTTTCTGGATTAAGAGAAACATTTCTTTGTAAGATTTTTTCCTGTCAAAATTCTTGTTACAATAAAAAAGCTTCATCAAAACCAGCACAAAATACTGAACAGCTACACTTTCTGAAGCAAAATAAAATGGGATAAAATATTCTGTCAAAACTACTAAAACTGTAGCATGTGGGATGATAAAGTGCTTCTAATTTTCAGATTGAATCTTGATACATGATCTTACTACTTAAAGTATAATCTTCTCTCTTATGTTTAGAAAGAGATAAAAAGATAGAGATTTTAATTTTTCTTCAAAAAACATTTGTTCTTCCAAGGAAGACCTCTCCACCTCCCCTCCCAAGCCTTTTCCTCCTTTAGCCGTCATTCGGAAAGTAATTTATTTTGTTCTCACGTTGCTAGTTTCCATCTAACTGTTTACCTGTTTGCATTCTTGAATTATTTAGGATGCAACTTACGTATCCGTCTGATTCTAACATGTATTATGTCCCTTCTAGAATTTAAATGCTTCAGTAAACTTTATTATCATATGCAGATAGCTCTTAAATAGTATTTTTAAGAGCAGCACTATTGTTTGACAACATAAACACCTGAAACAATCTTCGAAACATTTGGTCATGTAATCCCAAAGAAAATCCGTGCTTAAGGATGTGATCAACAAATTGACTGTTTTGACAATTTCCGAAGCATTTTTGTTCTCTTTGATTGCACTGTGTGAAAGGGGAAAAAAGGAAAAAAAAAGAAACAGATGTCAGTGAAGATTCTAAGAGCATGCACATTACAGTATCAGCTGATGTGTTCTAAAATCTTTTTTCCCCTTTCTCTACAAGCTAAAAGTCATTGATTGTTTTAAAGCAAGGACTAAGTCATTCTGGAATAGCTAGTTTCAGCATCTTTCTCCCAGATGAAAGAAATCGAGCCTTCAACTTTGAAAATCAAAAGGCTAAGAGTTCTGTCGCCAGACTGATTCTTGGTCAATATAACTGGATTTAATCAACACCAATCATATGCAGTGTAATTAATTTTCTTCTCTACTAATCAAAGAGAAATCAAGTGTTTGTGGGGGAAAAAGGGAAATCATAGAAAAATGTCATCTTCTATGCTGAAGGTCACTTTGTTAAAGACCTAACCTTCCTTATATTGGTTAGATTTTAATAAGTCAGCTTAATATAAATGATACAGTTTCACTTCATAGTTGAAAACTTGTAGTTATACCTTGCAAGTATGTTGCCACTTTGATTGTAGCTAAATTTGACATCAGAACCAAGTGCATCTTTGCAGTAGGAATAAAAGGCTCTAATAACTTCAAGGAACAGATCCCCAACCACCTGCGGCCCTACAATTGAAAGAAAAAAGAATCCAGTAGTTGCACCAAAGTGATTGCTAGGCGGCTCAGTTACAAACTTGTATAGACTTAAATTAGGGGTAGCTAAACTAAAAAACCCATGATCGGCCAAGTAGGAAGAAATTGTTATGTGGCTTTTTAAAATGTCAGAATTTCCAGTTAAAATAAATTAAATATATAGTTAAATATTTGCTTTTTTTTTTAATTCTAGTTAAATACCAGCTGTTGTTCATTTTAGGAACTTTTTAAAGTAATACTTGAAAAGCTATAGCACTGGTTCTACATTATACTTATGTCACTTCCGTAAGGCACCTACACTGCAACCATTTGTAAGTGGGCATAATCATAAACATAAACCTGCAGTTCACATGCCAGAAATAATCACCATGTCTGTATCCATAAGGAAAACAAGCAGATTTCCCAATACACATTTAACATAGTAGCCTTATTTAAATTTTGAGAGACAGAAGCTGGAAAAATAAGCAAATCGAAATGTTCAAATGCCTAAATATATCTAAAAAAATGCATATTTATAAACAGTTTTAAGAAAAAAGTATAAGTTAGGTGTGTGCTGACAACTGCACCCAGTTTTCAAGGGTCAGCACTTTTTTGTTTTATCTGAAATTGTCTATAGAGGAGGTGAACAAATAATAAGTACAATACCCTAAACATGGAACAAATAAAAAAAAATTAGTGTATAAAACATTCCAATGAGTGCTTCTAAAAAGTAAAAAAAAGTTAGAGTGACTAAGAGTAGCAGGGCAAAGATTCTTATGCTAAATCCACTTCAAAAGAAAGTGAAAATCATATTGGCTTAAGGCTTAAGAAGTTTTATTTTGTGTGCTGACTTGGAACAGAAAGACTAAACTGAATAATGCAGATCAGCTAAATAATCCTTATTGTAGTTCAGATTAACACTGATTGTCAGCCAAATAAAACGTACAATAAGGTAGTATCTGTCATCTACTTTCTAAATTAGATTAATCAAGAAATTTATAATGTAACAACCTTAGTTAACTGTCCCTTCTTCAGCATTTTTGTTGGGAAATAAAAATGCTTTATGTAAGAGGCTTTAATCACGATAGATTTTTTTTAAAAACAGCTGAAAACCAGCTAAAACCAGTGGAAGGAAAGATGAGCACCACTGTCTTACAAACAGACTAACAACTGCTTCTACTAAGGTAGCATTCATTTGTTAGACAAGCCATACAGAATCCTCATCTTTCCTGTCAGTGCTTTGATAATTCTTTAACAGGAAATGTGCTTAAAAGGACTTTCCTGACCCATGAAAGAAGATAAGCTTATCAGAATACAGGAGCCTGCAAAACCAACTGCCACTTGAGCATTTAGACTCAGTACATGGTTTTATTCTAAGTCTACAGGCTTGGTCAATGGTAACATCACACCCCCACCCAGGATAATACCTAGAACAATGCTTTGGGATACAGTCAGTCATTAAGACTCTATTAGCTTCTAACAAATACCAGTTAACCAGTCCATAGGCTTCTCATACCTGTCAAATTAACAGAATATAATTTCAAAGATTTATCTATACATGGTCCTTACAGAATACTATTAAATCCTAAAAATTTGTCAATTTACTTTGGCTTCATTTTTTGGTGCAGAAAGGAGAACTTGCCCTTTAAAATAAGGGCTGGCAAAGCCTCACCCTTCTGGTGCTGGCAACTTCATGTACACAACAGAATAGACATGTGGCAGTCAGGGAAGAGGAGGAAATTCTTCACAGCTCAGTCATGAACTCTCAAACTATAGCTCCCACAGCAGTGTCAGGCCAGCACAAGCTGGTAGTGCCACTGACAGAGGCACCCCTACCTCTCCACATCCGTAACAGGTTATTTCCAGCTGGGGGACCTGCGGGTAAGTGGTACTGCCCACTTTGGCAGCAGTATCACCATAGGGTAGCTGCCTGGGGGACTACAGTGTCTGGAAAAGCAACACAGTCATGAGAGTCTGATACAAGTGTATAGGAAGGCCTGCAAGCACAGCCAAGCACTGGAAACAAACCCAGGCAAGAGTAGTACTGGTGGTTTTCTAGATAGAAGCCGCTTTGTCAGACAGAACAAAAAGAGGCCTGACAGTATGTTAGAGAATAAGCTCGAAGGAATGAATTGAGCAGAATATTGAGACTAGGGCAGAAGTGGTTCTTTTTAACTGGCCCCTCAGTTCTGGGCATGGAAGAGCATTATCCTCACTAGGATGCTACACAGCGGGGTGCTCTGTAGAAGAGCCAGAGATAACCTGGAGAGAGTGCTTGCTCTAGAGTACTGTTCTGAACCAGGTCCAAGGCAAGGAACACAGCCCCCTGCACGCTAATACACAATGCACACATATTCAGAATTAGGAAGAATTGTGCTGGATGTTGTCTTGAGTCCTACTGTCAAAGGTGATGAACACCAAGTTGTAACAGTTTTTCGCAGTCATAACAGAAGTGACAAGCAACCTTACCTATTTCGGGTTTGTCAAGGAGACTGATTAGGATGCGGAAGGGTTTCAAATAAGCTTGATGCTGTTCCTCTGTATCAGACTCTGGGAATTTCTGATGTAAAATTTCAGTCAAACTCTAGTAAAAAGAAGACATCAAAATGTTATACGTAGAAGAGAGATTGCCATTTTATTAAGACCTGAAGTGTTTCTAAATTTGATTTTGTTTAGTAGTGACTGCAATTGAACATCAATTTTCCATACAGGGTACACAAATCAATGACATTTTCTCATTGTCTGTACTCAAGAGCTGATCTTATTCAGAGAAACATTTTTAAATAATTCAGGTAGCTCATCAAAGATGCTACCCTTTGGTTTCATTAGGTTCCATTTGTATTGTAAGCACATACAATATTGGGATAAATACAGCACAGCAGGCATTCAGATAGATGAAAATATAACCACCAAAAGGATGTTACCTTTAGGGACAGAAAGTAAAGTACAAACCAAGTGGCACAGTGAACAACTCTAGATGCAGTTTGCACTAACATTTAAAACGATCATAAATATATCTGTATACAATGAACACCAACCTCAACCAAAAGATCTTTAGAATATTTTCCAAAGAAATAAATAGCATGGTCTTCAGAAGTTGAGTCTGGAGCAAAAGTACCACCTTTAATATCAGAGCCTATAAGATAAACAGAGGCATCAGGAGTACAGAGAAACACTACACACACATAATTTATACTAATATTGAAATTACACTGCATTTTTAACCTTTGACATTTCAACACTTTGCTTGAAACTAGCTCACATACGGCCCACATATCACAGTTTGAGGCATCCTGATGTGCTATACTGAACATGAATCAAAACCAAGGCCAGATCCAGACATGGGGTCAGCAAGGGCAGCCTTCATGCAACTACATGGCTGTAGCTCTTGCCCTGTCACTTTTAGGCTCCTCTTACACTGTTAAAATGAGAAAAATGGGGAGAAGCTATAGCTCTCTTATGGCCCCTCCTCGACAATTAAGACCATATGGGAATTAATAGACTACTACTCCCAGAAGACCAAGGTTAAAATAGCACCCCACTCCTTTCAGTCCACTGAACCACTTCAGAATGAACTGTGGATGGGACCAGAAATAACTCATCAGAGACCCTGTGATTCAGGACAGCGGAATGATTTCACCTCTGAAGAGAAGACCTGTTTGCCAAATGAATGCTTAATTTTATTAAACAGGTACTTAATAAATGGCCACTAAACAACACTCCATTTATCATCATTCATTATCTGCTGAAAAAGTGTATTACATTTTTAAGCACTGATTTTTTTTTCTCTTAGGTATTCAGAATATTTAATATCACCGTGTGGTGTACAGTACCTAGCAACCATGCATATAATCTTCTATTGAGTGACATGTCTCTCCTCAACAACGTCTGTGTAGCTGCTGACAGAATATAGACTAAATCAGTCCTGTGCAATAGAATACTGCTTTCGTTGCAGTCCTAGGATGAAAACCAAAGATACTTTAGCTGTTTATGAACACTGAAACAAGTCAAATTGGTAATGAGAGGTTTTTTTAAGCTGGTAATATTAATGTTCTAAAAAAAAAGGCAACAAACCATCAACAACAAAATACTTTGTATACTAAAAATCTCAAGAAAGGGAATCTGACATAATTGTGATCATTTTCATATTTAAGGTACAGAGCTACAGTTAAGTTAAAAATACTAAAGACTTAATTATGTTATGCCTTAAGACTTAAAATTACTTGCTACTTTCAAAATACTGACTATACTACTAGGTAAATTAGGAAATGATGGGGAACAGCTCTTGTATCAAGTAATATCTTCTTTCCTAGTCCTTAACAGAAGGATCTTAGTTTAGTGCAAACAATTCCAAACGAACTACTTGAAAAAGGAGTTCGATATTTTTTCCATATGCAGTTTCTCAGGCCTGAATACTTCAAGCACCTTCCAAATATCATGCAATATTCACTATGAAAGTACATCTTCACTTGAAGCTGTAAGGAGTCTGAGAAGCAGCAGTGTCTCCTCTACTATTAAAATTGATGAGGGAACAAGAAACTGCAAAATCTGTTCATTGATTTTGAAGGTACAAAATTCAGACATTTGGTAATAATAGAGGTAGGAGCTGGATTGGTTTCACAGAAGACACCTTCCCGCACAAGGTGCGCATGTGACAATACCAAAATAGTCCTCTTACCAAAGCTGTATAAAATGGGAAGAAGAAGAGAATCACTTCTAAAGTGTTTCTTTGCACAAGGACATTTGAATCCAATACTGATACACACAAAGACTTTATCTGTAAAAGGAAAAGAAAGCATCATGTGTTTTACTTCATGATAACATTTAAACTACAATCACTGTTAATAATCACAAGAAGGAAAGAAAGCAAACTTGGTTACATGTGAACAATATCTTTTTAAATAAGAGGATAATTACTCAGCCATTTAACTCCTGCCCCCAAAATGAGTTAAAAAACAGTTTTGTGGAATACTGTTAAAAGAATAGTTAATACTTACAAAATACTTGGTTTTGTAACAACACAGAGTGTCACAGCATGACATCACCATGTCATGTGAAGAATGTGAAGCCTCACAAAATGCACGTATTAAAGTACTCTAACTAGCATTACTTATTCCATCACTCAAGTTTAACATAAATTACTACCTACTGAGATTTCCATTTTACTAAAAAAACAAAAAGACACTAAATTTCAGAATTGTCTTCCAGAAATGCACTTTGAGAAATCCACATTAAACATTGTATATACTGCATTGCAGAAAAGCTGGTCTTCAACCTTAAATGCAAATTCAGAACAGGTAGAGAAAACACGTCAGGTTTATCCTCTGATTTGAAACAGCCAGTCTTTTAAGGCTGTATGTAGTACCGATTACCAAAAACTGCAGAAGCTTCAGAAGCCTTGCATTCTTCAGGCTAACCAAAATGTGTATGGGAGATTCTCTGCTATATTCCAGGTAAGATGCTTCCATGAAGTAACCATATTAAGCAATTCCAAAATATGGACATTTCAGCCTCTTTTTCTCTCTCTCCAAAGTATTTTTAAAAGCATGTGTCGTGGTTTAACCCCACCTAGCAACTAAGCACCGCACAGCCGCTTGCTCGCTTCTCCTCAGTGGGATGGGGGAGAGAATCAGAAGAGTAAAAGTAAGAAAACTTGTGGGCTGAGATAAAGACAGTTTAATAGGGGTAAAGCAAAAGCCGCGTGCACAAGCAAAGCAAACCAAGGAATCCATTCACCACTTCCAATCAGCAGGCAGGTGTTCAGCCATCTCCAGGAAAGCAGGGCTCCATCACATGTAATGGTTACTTGGGAAGACAAAACGCCACAACTCCGAATGTCACCCCCTTCCTTCTTTCCCCAGCTTTATATGCTGGGTAGGATATCATACGGTCTGGAATATCCCTTTGGCCAGTTGGGGTCAGCTGTGTCCCCTCCCAACTTCTTGTGCACCCCCAGCATCCTTGTGGTGTGAGAAGTAGAAGAGGCCTTGACTCTGTGTAAGCACTGCTCAGCATAAATCCAAAACATAGCCCATACTAGCTACTATGAAGAAAATTGACTCTATTCCAGCCAAAACCAGCACAGCATGTTGTCCTAATTTAATACAGAGAAGGCACAATCTGCTAGTGTGCTGGTATTATGGTGGATAAGACTGTTCTACGAGTGCAATGAACTTACTGTGAGCTTATAATCAGCGCCGAGCATGTACTTCTGCTGTTTTCCAGACAGCTCTCTGTTGATATGACTGACAACAAAAAGAGAAGCAGGCAGCCTGATGGATGGGCTGACCAGGACACCACCCCAGAGTGCTCCATAGAACACTTCTTGGCCCATCAACAACGAGAGCTTCACAAGCACAGCATCTGTTCTGTATGGAAATATATTTGACATGAGAAAATAGATTTTTGTTAGTTCAGTTTTATACCATAAAGGAAATTATACACAGAATTAGTATTGTAGTTGACATAATTTATTTAATTTCCTCATCTTTGTATTATCAGTATTGCCCTTTTCGTGTGAAGATGGCTGCATCTGATTGTACAAAAACAATAAAGAACCACTCAATCCTTTGTCACTGTGCACACTCACTGAAACAAAACTTCTGTGCATACTTTGGAAACTTCTCCAGTAATTATCTGCAAGCATTAAGCTCTGACCAAATTACTGCAGTAGCTCTGATTGCAAGATATTTATGGTGAGAGGTGTGCAATGCTGAACTGGAATTAATTTAAGCTGATGCTAGACTCTGAAAGCCAATTTTTCCAGTCTGGGAACTGGAAGATATCCTACATATTTGTACTTACAAATGAGTGGGCTCAATCTGTAAGTCACTGAACGAAGGAAAACATGAGATAAAATAACACGCTGTCAGTTATTGCACATCGGACCAGTACACTGAAATTAGTTTCAGGCAATCATATTGGAGGTCCTATGACTGACTGCTTTGGCAACCCTGTCAGTACTCCAGTATTTTACTATAATATAGGGGTTAAAACCTCATGTGAGGAATGGAGAAGTGAGAAAAGAGGAAGAAGTCCAGCACAGAAGAAAGATCCTCCCTCCCCCCCAAAAATCCGATGTTCTTTTGCATTTCTTTATAAAGTAGCCCTCAAGCCATTTTTTCTTTTCCGTTTCGTGTCTCTGTGTGTGCGCGCATGCAAACTCATGCATATGTGTGTGTTTAAGAAGGAAATACTGTCTAGGCTGAAGCATGACCTAAGCTAGTACTTCTGCCACTTTCATGAACAACAAGGGATGTATTAGTGTTAGTTGTCAGTGTTGAAGATTCTGAAAACCTTCAGTGGAAAGTATCTCATGAAGCTGAATTTAAAATTAATCTAATACATCTTACAACACTATCTTGGTCTATCTTTCCTGCACCAGAATCATTATGATGAGTAAACTAAAGAAAGACTTTCTCATGTAATTTTTATATTTTACAAAATAACATTAAATTAATTTTAGCATAAATCTTTCACAGTGAAATATACAGTCACTTCCTGTCTGTGATCCTGTTTGTTCAAGGCAAAGAGGAAAACAGTGCCATCAAGAATAGGGGAAAAAGGTATAAAACCAGAAGTTGGACCTTGGAAGTTAATCTGCAATTCCCATTAACTCACTACTTCAAATTTAGTCAGTTTCAAAATGAGCTCAGTCTCCCTAAAAAGGCTTCAGATAGACAGGAGATTTAGTTCCAAAGGATTCCCTTTCTCCCCCAAGTCCCCAGGAGCTAGTGCTATAGGAAAGTGAAAACTATACACCGTCATTTACAAGCCTACCTGACAAAAAGCACATACTAAAATTAATGTTTCTGCAGCAGATGTATAAGAGGTATATACTTGTCCATAGATCTAATGTTCTGGAATTGGTAACTGAATGTTACTCACCAAATTGGGAACACATGCAATCTACTCTTAGCCGCTCCAGCAATTGATGTGAGCCTTCAATTTAATACTTGTTTTTAAAAAAAGGCATTAGACATAGAAGTATTTTGCTTATAAACAGCAATCTATGCAGCCTAGCACATCTCGCTTTTTTTTTTTTTTTTTTTTTTTTTAAAGGGTACACCACGCTTTTTAAGATTCAAAAAGGGCAGAGAAAACAGCCAACACATCCAGATTGGTAATACAGAAGGAAGTACATTAACAATGCAACGTTTGGTGACTCTTTAAGCAAAGAAACATTTGGATGAAACCTACAGTCGTTGAGTTCTTGTAAGATCTTACAAAACAGTTCTGATAACTGAAGTAAAACCACTACACAAACGAGTGCTGAGCTGCTCTTCTCAGCACACTTCCTGATCCTGACTTTATCGTACTGAATACCATTGCCATTACTGCCAGGGGCACCCAAGAGTGAGAGAGAAATTTTTTTCCACAACAGATTTTATAAGAGTTGCCTCTTGCTCGTGTTTTCAGAACCTGAGGGTAAGTATCTGGTACAGAAATACTGGAAAGAATTCATATGCTCTCTTGTGTTACAATATTTAAATAGAATTTATCGACAGAGCAGTGGTTTGGGGAGTCAGGTTAATTATTTAGGAGTTCAGAGGAGCTTTAAGAAATAGTTTTTATTCCTTTCGCTCAGCACATCCATTTTTAACCCTCCTTTTCCTCTTCTCTCCTGAGATGAAAATAGAAGGGGAAAGGGTTTTTTAACTTTAGCACTATTCGTTGCATTTTCCAGGGACTCACCATTCTTCCACCCTTAGAAGCTCTTTTATCAAGCCTGCTATATAGAAAGCTGACAGAAATTCCTTGAGAATTCCCTAGGAAAGCAAAATACTGTATATTGCTTTTAAATTAATATTAGTTCTCACCTGTCATAAATTTCTGATCCTTCTTCCAATCCAGGCAGCAGTCCAATTAGAAAGGCTTGAAGACCAGGCAGGAGGGACTTTTGGAGAGGAAGAAAGTATTTCTCGTACAAACCAAGGAGAACAGGCCTCACTGACATTGCTGCATTTGCCAGCAGAGGAAACAAACCAGAGCTTTTTTTTAAAAAAAAAAAAATTAAAAAAAAAATTAGTTAATTAAAATAGACTGTGAAACACAAATACTTTTAAAGAAAAGTTTACCTGTACAGGAATAAATCCTTGGCAAGCCATTTTGTCCCAATAATTTTAAAGATTATTTCATAGGTTTCTAATGCCTTTAAATGTACTCCACTAGGCAGTGCTGGATGCAAACACTGAGATAATCTTTTACTGATTATCAGCCGTCTTGGCAATAGAGAATACTTCAAGTTACTCTGAAGAGCCTGTGGAAGAAAGGAGATGAGAATAAATAGCTATAATATAAACCATGACGTATATGATGGCTGCATGACAAAGGTTTCCTACTAGCACTCTAAGAAGAAATAAATGCATTCAAGAGTTTTCTTTCATAAATGCATTTTGTTAACACTGAAACAGCAGAATTCTGCAACTGAGTTTTCATATGGAATCAGTCATGAACAATCTAGAAAAGTCTGGTCTTACTTTGCTTAGAGGCTGGAAAAGGAAGTCAAAGGACAGGACAGGGACAGGGTACCCTTATCCTATCTCCAGCGGAAGTAGGGAAGTGACAAGAAGAGCATCTTAGCTTTTAAGTACAGGGAATAAAGTAAGAATTAAATAACCATCTTTCCTCATAAATTTTCATTTCACATATAGCTGAAACATAAACAAAAAACCTTCCAACCAAAGCAGGCATGATTAAATGGGACAATAACATCTTAGAGAAGTTATTTGTAATTCTGTGTGGCTACAGTCAGTAAGCTTTATTAACTACACCCACTACATTGACATATAAGTAAAAGATCTTCAAGACAGGAAATAGTTAAAGAAGCATTGCAGTGTCCTGGTTTCGGCTGGGACAGTTAATTTGCTTCCTAGTAGCTGGTACAGTGCTGTATTTTGGATTTAGTATGAGAATAATATTGATAACACACTGATGTTTTAGTTGTTGCTAAGTAGCGCTTATCCAAAGTTAAGGATTTTTCAGCTTCCCATGCTCTGCCAGCAAGCAGGTGCACAAGAAGCTGGGAGGGAGCATGGGCAGGACAGCTGACCCAAACTGGCCAAAGGGATATTCCATACCATAGGACGTCATGCTCAGTATATAAACTGGAGGGAGTTGGCTGGGAGGGGCTGATCACTGCTCGGCCATAAGTCAGTGGGTGGTGAGCAATTGCATTGTGCATCACTTGTCTTTTCTGGGGTTTTATTTCTCTCTCTCTTTGTTATCTCTCTTTTCATTACTACTACTACTATTATTAATATTTTATTTTATTGCAATTATTAAACTGTTCTTAATGCACGAGTTCTACTTTTTTTCCCAATTCTCCTCCCCATCCCACCGCAATGCGGGGAAGAACGAGACAGCAGCTGAGTGGTGCTTAGTTGTTGGCTGGGCTTAAACCACGACATGCCGACAAGACAGTTCTCCGGAAAAAACAAACTGTAGCACCTTTCTTTGGAAAGATTACTTTTCCTTGAACCATGCATGCATTTCAGCAGGGAATTAAGTATGTCTCTTCAATTCAGAGACAATTAAAAAAAGAAATTGCAAGTAAATGGCACTTTAGCGTTTGATCACTGTCTGCTAAGGCAAATGGAAGTTTCACTACAGATTGACATTTGGGATTTTTCAGGATTAGGCAAGTTCTTGACTCTCCCAAAGGTTAAATCATGGTCTTATCCTATGTAATTGTTTTAAACTTGAGGTTCTTCTATCCTGCCTGAAAAAGGGTTTTGAAAAAAGCAGCAGACAAGTGAACTAACCTTTTATTGCTCATTTCCAAGAAAAAAACCAAAACAGTTCAGCAATGATCAGGGCATTCACTTGAATGCTGAATACTCTCATCAGCAGTAAGAGGAAGAGATAAAACCCATCATCTTTCAAAGGTGTGTGCAACTTATCGTGTAAGACTGCAGTTGGTGGGCATGAGAAGCTAGAGTCTGTGAGACTACTATTGCATTATTTCTCCCATTTCCTGCCCTGCCTAAACTAAGAGACCAGCTGTTAGTAAATAAAACTTAGTCAGGAAGAAAAAGGCTGACAGTTTGTAACAACAGTAAATAGAAAGGTCACGCCATTCTTAAATGCATACAGTACAGATGCCGTTTAGAGCCAATTAATTTCCTTCCTTCCCGCCCCCACTATGAGCAGGAGATCTGCATTTTAATAGGTACTAAAGACTAGAATCCAAGAATACAGCAATATTTCACATATGAAACTAAAACAGGTTATATTCATGGAGTTATCATTTATATCTTTTTAAACCTTTTATATTTGAAACATTTACTCATATATTACATGAGTAATCTTATTTCAATGTTAAAGACTGAAATCCTTAATACGTGTAATAAATTTGAAGACTGCTTGAAAGCTGGACTTTGAAACATTCTGTTTATATTGGTTGGTATGTTTGTATATTTGCCCACGCCCTCTGTATATATAAAACAAGGTAATTACGAAAAAAATATGCAAGTGGTAAATATTTTTCCCCTCAATCTTAAAATTGAACGCATAATATCTTAATATTCTATCAGTTAAAATTTAAATATCAACTAGGTAGAAAATGAAAACATTCACTGTTTATTACACAGGGAATCTGATCCATTACAGGAATAACGCCATCTCATAAAAAAAGTCTTGTTTGCCTTATTTCATTTCCTAAGGATGTAAATCTCCACCAGCAAATAAGAACTCTCCTTCCCCAAACATCAGGGACAGCGAAGCAAAACATGTAGTCAGAAGAGGAAAAAATACTCCAGGCATCTTAGGAGTTGAATGGTGGATATGCAGGGATAACTCAGTGTGAAGTATTTCTCCTGGGTAACTCTGAAACCTTCACATGTCCAGACTTCAGCAGGTGAGACTAACTTAGAACAAGACTACATTTATGTACATGTGCCAACTATACTGCTTCACCTAAAGAATCAGAAGACATCTCTGTACAGGAAGCAAAGATTTGAAGACATTTATTATGATCCTCATACATAAGCTGAGGAGAGTTTCTGCCCATCACATCAGAACAATTTGGAGATGAAACTCCCTTCTCAAAAGCATGTAGTCTTTTTTTCTGACTTGGGTTGAAGAAATACACAATTGGACACAAGCTACAATTCTTCTCAAAAGTGTGTGTTCCTGGTTAACATTTGTCTCTGATGTTCCAGCAGATGCAAGGGATTTTAAAACACACTGCAATATATTAGAAGACTGCGGTTGCATCAAGAGCCATTCCAGCAGAGGTGGGCTGGCTGCCACTTTGCTGAAAGGTTCAGATTCTTAACAGCTTCCCCAGAATTGCAGTGCTCAAAGAACTTTAAAAGGGTTGAAAGACTTTAATTAGCAGACAGATCTAAAACCATTCATTTAAATAAGAGTGACATGATAATATACGTATTTCCAAATGCCAGTTTGTTTCTGTGAGCTGACAGGCAAAGCTAAGAAGCTTGATTTTTAAATATCGTGAGCTCCCACAACTGAAAAAAAGAATGCGTTGTCTGAGAGATCTAGGACTGCTGAAATGCCATTATCATTTCAGCTGTTACAGGTAGTTAAATGTTGTGGTAGCAAGCCTGGTATCATTGGCACTGTATGCAGATAAAGATCCCATCCCAAACCACTGCTTCCACATTCAGAATCCAACACTAACGACTGCAGGTGGATAACTCTGCTCACAAGTTTCGACATCTATTATTCACCCATTCTTTTGATTCTTGTGAGCTTAATTTGGCTGTGTTCAGTTACATATGGGCTGAAGCCCACCCATGATCTACTTCTCCTCGTCTCCAACTGCTTTCCACATGAGCAGTTATGGTGGCAGAAGCGTAAAATGTCACTGGAACTCCTAGCAAGGGTTGGCTTGAGAAGCCTGAACTGCCAGCAAGCACTCCATGCTTAATATATCATCCCAGGGTTTGGTTTTCACAAATCAGTGAGAAATCAACAATCCCAGAAAACTACCACTGGCTTTTAAAATAAAGACTTTAATCAGTAAGTCAGGAAAAAATGAGTCATGAAAAGTAATGACTTGTGCTCATGCGCATGTCCAGTTTTCAACGTTTTACAGGTTCTTTTTCTTTATAACTGACTAGAGAATACATTACACACACTGAACATTTTCTAATGCATAAGCATGCTCAGAGTTTCTTTGAATGTGGGCTACAAAGGGTAAAAAGGGAAGACTATCTATTCTTTGCAGCAGTGTATACATGTGCCTTAAAAGAAAACACAGATACACACACACACACACACAGAGGAATATTCTTTTCCACAGTTACTGGTTTAAGTCATTCTGCACTGCTTTATAGCACCACTAGATGTCAGTTAGATCAATTTTCCTAGACATCAAAAAAACAAGCAAATTAAGTAAATATTTTTATTTACATAACTAGAATTCCAGAAAAATGCTGCATGTACATCAATTTATAAGATTATCTTCAACTAGGAGATACTATAACTCTTGTTTTAGACCACAGTGGTTGGGACGAGAGGGGCAGGAGAGCCTGTGATTCCATTTTCCATTGCTTCATTTTCCAAGTAAGAAAAATTCTAAACAGAGCTCCAGCTTCCATAAAAATAGCGGCACAAAGTTCAAAGGTGGTTGTGAGAAAACTGTAAACTAGGAGCTGGAGTTATATTAAAAAAGGGGGAAAAAAAAGTATAAAATATCCCTAGTCCTGCACATTGCATTTGCGCATCGGGTGTGGTGAAGTTCCATAAAGCAATTAGGAGGCAAAGATATAAGGCTTGCCTTCAACAGAAGGCAAGTGGTGCTTGTGTTTGTAATTCAGCTAACAGTTGTTATAAAGCCATAGCAGTCAGAGTTCTTATATGAAGCAACTGGTGTAATTAAAGGCTATGCTCATTAATTCCATATTTCAGAAGAATCCTTCTCTTCTCTCCCCTCAAGAACAGACATACTGTAACATTAAGTGTTACTACTGAAACAAACAATAGTTGTGCAGCTGCAATGACTTTTGTGCTCTCTTCCCTTCCCCTCCAAACAGAGCAAGTGTTTGGTTGAGATCATATTCACCTTTAAGTTTTTGAAGCAAGAAAAGCCTACAGAAACAAAAAGTAACATACTTATTTTCTACTGAAAGTGAAATTAAAAAAAAAAATTACTTTGAAATTGCAAACTAAAGACTAAAAATTAGCATTGTAAGAACTTGTAATCTGTGCATTTATACAGTTATGTCCAAGGATAAAAAGCAGTTTGAAAGCCTCTTTTAGAGCAAACATTGCTGTCATTACTGAGCAAGTCCA